CCCGCCATTTTGACCCCCGCCGCCATTTCGCAGCCCCGTCCATAGTGAGGGGGGAGGGGGAAGGTGGTGTCGGGGCTTCGATGTGCCGACCCCTCCTTTACAGCCGGGCAGCGGGGTCGGGCAGCGGTCAGTGCCTCAATGGAAGGTCGGAGAGAGCTCCAGAGAGCGTGAGGGGGTTTTATGGGGCTCAGCCACAGCGCTGTGGCCTGAGGAGCCCCACAGCCTGCCATAGTTGTGCCATTGCTCCAACGCCCCTCTCTAAAAACACCCACAAACCCCACTCTTAAAGGTGTTTTAAGCAGAGGATGACCTGGGGAAGAATGCAAACCAGCCAGCAAACACGGAAAAGCTTTGAGATCGCTACATGAGCACGTGTGGGGCAGGCGCCCAGCATGAGGGGCGGCAGTGCTGGGCCAGGGGGAAGGTGCTGTCACAGCCCAGCCAGCAGGAAGAGCCCTGTCCCCATCCCCTGCTGCCCCACTAGCCCATGGTCCCGGGTTTTATGGTCATGTCTGAGAGGGAACCCTCTCCACAGCAAACCCAGCCACGGGGATCCATGGCAGAAGCTGCCCTGCCAGGCGCCCCCGCATCCACTGAGATCCTTCCCCTCCCGGCCCCAGGGGATCGCCTTCCTCTGATCTCTCTAATCTGCTCTGATCCCCCCCCGATCCCATTACTGCTCGCCCATCACCCGCACCTCTGCCTGCTCGCTCATGGCAGCCCCAGCCGGGAGCCCCTGCCAGCCTTGTCGGCGTCTCACAGGGCTGAGGTGTGTGTGTGAAGGGGCTCCCCCAGCCTCTGACACCGGCCCTGGAGACACCTCCATGAGCCCACTTGGCTTCAAGCCTGAGGATCTGGGTGAAGCAGCTCCTGGGGTGAAGAAAGAAGTCAAACTCCATCCATTGCTCTGGGCTCTTTCTTCTGCCCCCGTGAAGCTGGCTGAACATTTCCTCCCATTCTAAAGAGATGCCTCTGAGAGCCCCTCAGCCACAAGCACCAGCACCTCTGGCACTCGCAGGCAGCGAGGCAGCTCTACAGGCAAATTCCGTGTCTGGAAACAGTCTGGGAGTGCTTTGGAGTCTCCCATCAGAAGGTGTTCTCAGTCTGTCAGCCAGCTGAACGCCTCTCCAGATAGGCTTTGACATCTGGAGGCGACATCTGGAGGTCATGGACAAACTCTGAGACAGAGAAGGATCAAAATCAGCGTCCAACCTCCCCGACATCCTCTAATCTAAATGCCTGTCCAGACCTGCCAAGACCTGAAGGGCAGTGGGTGTCTGTAAACTGAAGAGCATCTCTCCTGCTGTAAATACACCTTGAGCTGCCCACAGGGGTGCCAACACCTGAAAGTGTCCACGGATCCTGGCAGCAAACAAGGAAAGCAGCTTCCTGCAGCCATGTCTAAGGAGAGGGGGACCTCATCTGATCCTGCCAATCCCATCCTTGAGATTCCCCAGTTTCCAGCATCTGCTTGGGATCAGGCCCTGTGTGGATTTGGCATAGGAGGGCAAAAATCCTGTGATGGGCATTGAGCATAAAGGGTCAAGAACAAATCTGTCAGGTCCTTGTGTTGGTATTTGGTGTGCTCTGTGGGATCTCCCCCTCACTGCAAGCTCAGCCCTTCCACACCGCCAGGGACTCTTTGTCCTTAGCAAAATAGTCCCCTCTCTGCCTTGTTTTGCATAAGGTGGTAAAAAGCATCTCAGCCATTTTATACCCTTTATGAGATAAGGACTGGAGCCTGGTGGCTGTTTGGGCTTTGCAGCCATCATCACTGCCCGCTCATGGGAAGGGCAGCCACCAGGAAGGGCCACTGAAGTCAGGGGGTGAAGAAATATCACTGGGAGCCTGGGTCCAGAATGCTGTTTGATCCCAGCTTTGTTAAATTCAAAGAATTATGTGAGAGGAGGTGCCCGGGCCTTTATGATAACACGTAACAGCCTTGTTTCCCTAGAAAATTTAACAAATAAGACACAGCACTCTGTGTGTGACAGTATCCAAGCCCAATTTCAGCCCTAGCAAGCAGGAGGGTGAAGAGCTGTGTGGTATGAAGTTGCCACATGGCTAGTGAAAGTGGGAGACGGAGGGGGGGGGGGGGGTTGAACCTTGACTCACAG